TGTCTTTATCACTATTGTTAGACCACTCCTGTCTGGTTGGTAGCCAGAGAAGACTAAATGACTTTAATTTCATCTTGCTATCAAGTTTCTAAGACAACCCTCTCCCAACAAAGGATTTACCCCTGTCTTTATCACTATTGTTAGACCACTCCTGTCTGGTTGGTAGCCAGAGAGGACTAAATGACTTTAATTTCATCTTGCTATCAAGTTTCTAAGACAACCCTCTCCCAACAAAGGATTTACCCCTGTCTTTATCACTATTGTTAGACCACTCCTGTCTGGTTGGTAGCCAGAGAGGACTAAATGACTTTAATTTCATCTTGCTATCAAGTTTCTAAGACAACCCTCTCCCAACAAAGGATTTACCCCTGTCTTTATCACTATTGTTAGACCACTCCTGTCTGGTTGGTAGCCAGAGAGGACTAAATGACTTTAATTTCATCTTGCTATCAAGTTTCTAAGACAACCCTCTCCCAACAAAGGATTTACCCCTGTCTTTATCACTATTGTTAGACCACTCCTGTCCGGCTGGTAGCCAGAGAGGACTAAATGACTTTAATTTCATCTTGCTATCAAGTTTCTAAGACAACCCTCTCCCAACAAAGGATTTACCCCCTGTCTTTATCACTATTGTTAGACCACTCCTGTCCGGCTGGTAGCCAGAGAGGACTAAATGACTTTAATTTCATCTTGCTACCAAGTAATAACTTCTCATATATATTCACCTGATTTTCTGAAGCTCTCTCTACCTACTGGACATCATTGTTAATTCAATGTGAATTTTAAATTTAGATTTGCCATGGAAATAATTGAGTTCAAGGAAGACAGTTCTAATCATCTCTCTTCAACAAATTACCTGTGTGAATGTCTCCTCAGTGTCAACTGAATGGGATACCACCTTCCTACAAGCAGCTTGGTTGATAGATTATCCCACCAACAGCTAAAAGTTACTCTGGTTTGATTCTCAAAGCTAGTTTACTGCACTTTCTCTTGTGCTGCTGGGGTTTTGGGCATCTCTTCTAGTGGACTTCAACACCACTACTGCTGAATTACTGTGCAGAAAATCAGAGGAACATTTTTTGAGCTCTGACTAGAGCTCCTACTGAAGCATTACTAAAGGTGTGCAAGGCATTCTTGAAGCCTACACCAACTAAACCTAACTCAATGATTGTCATGGCCTGTATAACATGTGCTTTGAATAAGTAAATTTTTCAAAGCAAAGCTTCAACAGTAAGATGGGTGTGTATAGGACTTGCTCCAGTGGATCCGAGACAAGCAAGAGGTAGAGATTGTGGACCTGGTTCTCAAGCTGAGGGAGAAACTGGTGAGTGTCCTGTACAGTGGGTTATGTCTCCCACCAAACATTTGAAGTTTGTGGATATAGATATTCATAAGTAAGAGAAGTAAAATGCTTTAGTCATTAAGCCTGGGAAACACTCCTCAGTAAACACTTGGTTACAATATGGCCACATCTGACAACTGATTTGACATGCAGTTGTTGCTCATCCCATGGATCAGTCAGATCAGCTGAGCCCAGGTTTTATACCAAGCTTGCTTCTGCTTTCCTCCTTTTTCTTTTATATGGACATAGTTGCTCAACATAGTAGAACTCCTTAAAAGTCATACATTATTATTTATTTTTGCCACCTATTTAATTATTAATATATATATACACACAAGCCTTTATTAAGACATTTCGTCTTATGCAGACGATTCTCCTGTGAGAAATGAATCTAAAAAGAAATGAGAAGCAGGGGAAGAAACTGAATCCTCGCTCAGAAAAGATGATAGGAAGAAAAGAAAAAAAGGTTGAAGGAGATTTTAAATAGAAAAAGAAAACAGGGAAAGAATATCTATGTACAAAAGTTGAGACTGTATATATTGTTTTGCATGCATAGAACACAGTGAAGAAGTAAACTATTGAGTAAATGGTTGCATCTTGTGAAGAAGAAAATATTTCCACTCAGTTAAGTTACTTTGTTAGGTATTTTTTTCCTTCTCGCAGTCTTGAAAAAATTAAAGAACTTTAAAATAGATGACCCATTATCCATCAAGTCTGAAAGAAAGGAATACAGCGAAAAGTGTGGAATTATTAATATATAACTATAACAAAAAATTGATGCACCAAGAAGAAAATGTCTGATTTATATGAACATTTTTATACAAAGATGTTTCAACCAAACATGTAACTGATTGAAATTTGGTTGCCGATTTATGTAAAGCAAGAACCCAACTGTGTATCCAGCATTCTACACTCAATATTCAGTGTGGCGCAGGCTGATTTTCAAAATTTTCATTTAAATTTTTTGTAAATAATTCAACCCACACACTTTAATTTATTTTACCTGAAGCCTTTGATCTCTTTGGGTGTTGAATTAAAGAAGTTAGACTATATACACTAATGAACAAAACTTAAGTAAGTTGTACCTTTTAGCATGTATATCGGGATTCAGACAATAACTCTGAAAGATATTTGATACACAGTGATCTTTAGTGAATACACATGAGATGCCAGATGTGAACTGTCTCCTTAAAAAAAAAAGAATAGACAACTGGCGACATCAATGACTTTCCACTTCTTAAGTTTTGTCCATGAGTGTATATAATTGGTTATTTGGGTATGTATGTTGGTTCCAACAGCTAAAGTAATTTGACTGATATATTTTATTTACTTACTAGACGGGTGACCCGGGCTTCACCCCAGGATTGACCCGTGTGCATATCTACCCGAGTGATATATATTTAGATAAGATTTTTTTTTATAATTGTTTGTTATTAGCATTATCTATTTGTTTGCATCCACATAATTTAATCTAATCTTTGATAGAGGGCGCTGTTCGTGAGCTAAGTAGAATAATTTGAATATATAGTTTTAATAATTGATTTATATATTTTTTAAAATAGCCTATCGTCTTCCCCGTACTTTTTTACCTATGTATGGAAATTTTGGTTTGAATTAGTGAACTACTGTGAATTTGTATACCAGACATACAAACAAACAAACATACAAACATTCATTTTTATATATATAGATGTAAAAAAAAAAACACTATATGCTAATTTTCAGGTGTTTTTTTCTTAGGTTTCTTATAATTCACATTAAAAAGATTTCAAAATGTATGAGATATGCACATTATTATTTATATTATGATGTATTAAACTGGCGAAACTGCTAAGAAGGTTCACCACTGATGAGCCAGGCCCTCCCATTAATTTTTCCATTGCAGTAAGGACAGTAGAAATTAATTAATTTTAAAAGAATCATACGCTTCTATAATAGTTTCGAATTTGCATTATTGTTTAGTTTTATTAAGGTAAAACTTTGATAGCCTTTAACACTGGTTACTCTGGTTAGTTGAATGAGCAAATATGCTAGTCCTATTAAAACCAAAGATAGAATTTAATGCTAGCTCTGGTTTCAAACCTAGATTACTATTTCTTCATATACTATTTTTCATCAATGATGCAAAAAAAAAACTTGACCTAGCTTTTTTTTTTTGGTTAATTAGTTTTCAGCTTTATATATATTTTATGGCTTTTTCATAATTAAAAATGTACATGTTGGTTTTGATTATAGAGTACAGCAGAGCAGTTGCCTCTGCTACCCCAAACAGTCCACAAGATCAACCTTCACCTAGAGGGGATCTTGAGCACCTTGCCTGAGGATCTTCGGCATGTCCTGGCTCAAAGCTGTGAGTTCTTTCTTTTTGATATATTACTCAGATACAAGTTTTGCTAATGTGATAGAAAGTACAAGTTTAGCCTTCTCAAAGGGTAACGATACCCTAAAACCTAAATATGCTATAAATAACTAGTGATAATTTACATATAATTTGGTTTGTGGATAAAACTCTAACGCTAATTGCATTGCAATCTCATTGCATCATCAAATTTTAAAAAAAGTAATTTACCCCATAAACTGCATTTTGCACAAATTCAACCCGACCCCATATTGGAATGAAAAGATCATACCAATATTAACATGATTGATAACAGTGATAAACATTTTGCTGAAAGAGAAGTAATAGTAGAACGTCTGGTAGCAGGCTTAACAAACAACAGTATTCATCACCAAAATAGCTCCTATTGAAAAATCATTCTTGCTAGCAGAAGCCTCCAAACAATAGATCATTTCTTGTGTTAGAAGCTTTGTCCTTGTAAATTGTCTTTGTATTGAAATGTCTTCCCGGCTCTCCTTATCACATCTGTCCAGCTCATATTTAGTTCTTATTAGTCTCCCAAAGGCTGTCCGGGCGATCCTTTTTTCCAGCAGATGCTTTCTATTGGCTCCCATTTTTCTTGTTCCTTAAGTCTTTCTCTTACTAAAACTTTTAGACTTGTGTCTCTTTGTTTCAACCTTACACTGGACTATGGGCTCTGGAAGCATTGGGCAGCATGGTAGTCTCAACTACAGCAGAACCATTTCCAGGCAATGACTTGCACCTCCTTTGACAAAGGTGCAAAGATGGTGGGCAGAAATCCATGGCTTGCCTCTTTGGCCTGGAGTGCAGACAGCATCGTTGACACATTACATGGAACTTCCTGGCCACAGACATTTTAGTCGGACTTCCACAGAGAGCCCATTGCCGAGTCCCATTCAGTCAGGTTGTCGCTTCCAACTTTGATGTGCTTTGACCAATGGTACATTGATGTGGAGGGTTTTTAGTGATGGGTGTTGGAAAGCCACACATATGAGTGGTTCAAGACTGGCCAGAATATCCACTATCCACATATCATATCCATACAGTTTCCATGTCTCCATAAAGTCAAAGGGTTGTTCTTTGTCACATTGTGATCTGCTGAAGTTTCTCTGAGTGTCAGATCTGGTGTAAATAAACTTATTTTAAATTCTGTGCTGTGCAGATGCATTTTTCTAAAAAATTCCTGTTATTTAAAAAACATGCACACAAAAAATGAAGAGTTGGACCATTATTTAAACTACAGTGTATTTTTGAAATATATTTGTTTGACATTTTAAAGCACTTTAGAGACACCTTTAAGGCGAAATACCCCAGTTGCAAAAGCATTTGACTGAAGATCTAAATGTCCCTGGTTTGAACCCGCGTTTTGGCATATTTAAAAAAGTTGGTGAACAAGTGGCTAAAACCCTCGATTCCCGACAGCCATGAACCGGGATCGAATCCCACAATGTACACTTTTTTCAATGAAGAACCTGTTCATATTTCTCATTGTAAATAACATAAGCTAGGTTTGGGCGGTACCTAGTAGTTATTTTGGAACTTTAGAGACACCCTGTACTTTCAGCTGTCCCAAACTTAATATTTTTAGTGTGTAGTGCTGCTAGAAATGTGTCTTTAAAGCTAGCAATAACTGTTGTTGGTGTGTTGTTAGGACATGAAGGATAAAAGGAATGAATCTCCAAGAAGCCAATGAAGTGGTCCAATGCTCCGAGCCAACTGTTACCTGTTGGAGTTATACCAAAGGATATAATTGTTGTTGTAACTTTCTATGAGATTAAATCTACCTGTTAGTATTTATTTATTTTACTTTGTTGGCCAATATATGTCTCATTTTTATTTGTTTAGTGCTATACATCATGTGCCCTACCGTTAATTGGCTCAAATCTCTTGTCTTTTTGAATACTTATTTCCTCTCAGCTGTATGTAAATAAAAGTATATTTTACAAAAAATGAAAGTTTATTTTGGCTTCAAACACACTGACTGATACAAGTATATATTGTTGTGGAGAGAAGAAAGCAGTGAGAAGTTAACAGAGGTTTTATTTTGAAGCTTATCATTTAGGACATGATATATGAACTTTTTTTTGTGCTTAAATGATGGGAATCCTACCCACCATTTCTACAGCTATAATACTGCACAAGCGCTTGATTTAAGTTTCTCCCATCCTGACATTTTCCACAAATGCAAATGGCAAATATTAAAAAGTATTGGAAGTGATCATTTGCCTATTTTGATAGAAATTAGCACCAAGACCAAAACCAGCTCAATTAAAGAAAAATTCTGGAACTTCAAAAAGGCTAATTGGAATCTTTACTAGCAAAACACCAATGAAGACTTTGGAATAGCATCCACTAAAATAAAAGATCTGGAACAAAATTGGATATCTTTCAGAAACACCATTATTAAAGCAGCCAAAGTTTCAATACCAAGAGGTAATATTAAGAAATGGATTCCAAATTATACACAACAGGCAAAAGATATTCAAACACTCATAACTAAAAGAAAGGAACTACAAAAAAGTGCATCAAAAATCAAACAAATTGTAGAACTGAACTGAACATTGTGAATGCAAAAATAAAAAGATTATACGTAAATATGAAAAAGGAAAAATGGAAACAAACTTGTGAAAACCTGAACCCAAGAAACCCAAATACAAAACTTTGGCATTTGGCAAAACAAATTGACAGAGTCCAGCCATAAACTGAAAATACAAATATGATTAAGAATACAGATGGTACCCCAGCAACTAATGACAAAAATGCTGCTAATCTTTTAGGTAATTCATAACAAATAAGTAGTAAAATCAAATTTGAAATAAAGATAAGAAAGTTGAAAAAAAGGCATGAAAGATTATTCATGACTATAAAAATGTCACCAGCACTCATAATATTTTTCATGAAAAAATCAATATGAAAGAGCTCAATTATGCATTAGAAAACACTGACCTAAACAAGACTCCTGGGCCATATGGAATCCATGGCCAAATGATATCAAACTTGGGCAAAAATGGCAAAGAAAGACTTCTTGATGTTTTCAATAACTCCTGGAAAATTGCCTCAAGACTGGAAAACTGCAACAATAATTCCTATTAAAAAACTTGACAAATCTGCTGATGACCCAAAAAACTACCGACATATCTCTCTCACAAGTATCTGCAGCAAATTAATGGAAAAAATTATACTCAGACGATTCACCTACCACCTCGACACAAGAAATCTCTTACCAGAAGAACAATATGGATTTAGGAAAGGACATGGGACAATAGACCAACTCTTTATTTTTCACACAAAAGGTAAAAGATGCACAAAACAGAAAACCAACTAACCACGCCATAGCTGCTTTTTTAGACCTTACACAAGCTTTTGACAAGGGGTATTGAAAAACAAGTTAATTACAAAATTATACAAACATTTTAAAATTGATGGAAAAGCTATCACTTGGATAAATGATTTCCTTAAAAATAGATACATCAGGGTCAAATATAATGGCACTCTATCTAAAACCTTCAGATTGTATCAAGGATTACCACAAGGATCAGTCCTTAGCCCAACTCTCTTCACCCTATTTATTGCAGGCATAGAAGAAAATATTTCGCATAAAACCAATATTGGAATTTTCGCTGATGACATTATTCTATGGAGCAGCAACACTAACTGGAAAAAGCTGAAAGGGATTTGAACAAGACTCTTCACCTCCTAGAAAAATTTGCTAATAAAAATAAATGAGAATTTAACCCCAAAAATCTGAAACCTGTCTTTTTACTACCGATAAGAAACTATATAAAATAAGACCAAAAATTATTCTGAAAGAACAACAATTGCAATATAATAAACATCCTAAATATCTCGGCTACACCCTGGATCCAGAAATTAACTCCAGTAAACATATTGAAGAAGTTATTAGAAAAGGAAGAGACCAACTAAAAATCCTGAAATATATTTCAGGAAGAGAGTGGGGAGCCGATGCAACCACACTAAAATTAACTTACACATCTCTAATTAGACCTATCCTGGAATATGGATATCAAATCTATGGTACAGCATCTGAAACAAATCTAAAATCACTGGAAAGGATACAACTAAGTGCAGCTAGAATTATTACAGGTCTTCGAAATACCTGCCCTAATGATATTGTACTTTACGAAGCAGACATAATGCCCTTAAAGGATAGAAGTTACAATCTGCCAAAATATATAAATAAAATCAAGAGTTATGGAAACAAACACAGAACTTCCAATTACATACTTAATGGGAATCCAATATAAGACTCAAAAAAGAAGGCCCTCTCCATTTGGCCAAAAGAAATGGATTTTTAAAATATAAAGTGGAAAAAAATTATTTAGCAGAAAAAATATCTCCATGCGAACCACTACAAAATGTTATTTTTAATGCTACTTTAAATGAACCCACCAACAAACAATATCAAAATCCAGAATACTTAAAACAATTATCATTAGAAATAATTAATAACATTCCTAAAAATTCTATAATCATCTATACCGATGGTAGCAGAGACAAGTTAGGACACAGTGGCTGTCTCATCAAAACCACAAATGGCATTGAAAAAATGAACAGAAGAAACCCAGATTTTTGCTCGGTCTTCAGATCAGAACTTATAGCCATCTATGAAGCCTTAAAATCCATCAGAAATACTAATTATCAAGATATCTGGATTCTCACTGATAGTTTTTTTTTTTTGCTTATCCCTAGTACACGTGGTACAGGCCATGATAATCATGGTGGGTAGTTAGCGACTGCTTTTTACTGTAAGCGCACCACATGTCTACACATGTGAAAAGCAGTTTGACTTTGCACTTACAAATGCCAGAGCCCCGTTTGGTTACTTGCACTCACTGGTGGGGGTTGGACTTTTGCAAGAATCGGGGGCCATTGGAGCATTCACTGATAGTAGAAGTGCCATACAACACTTGAGTCACACAGGAGAACTTAGAGACAAAGTAAGCAGGAACATAATTGGTTATCTCCAAAAACTCTCAAAAACATCAAAAATTCGCCTTCAATGGATACTCTCATATGTTGGCATTGAAGGCAATGAAGCTGCCGATGCGCTAGCGAAAAAAGGCACAAAAGAACCCTTGCCACAGAAAAATAAACTTACTTTTAAAGAAATAGAAACAGTAGCCAAAACAAAATAAACAAGAACTGGAGGATCCCACCTAAGCACAGTTGGTACAGTGGAGTGAACCCAAGAGGAGCTTTGAACATCAAAAATAGACAGCATTAAACAACACTAACAAGATTTAGAACAGGCCATCTCAAGCCATTGAAGATAGAAAATAATAACAAAATCTACCCCACTTGCCCAAAATGTAGCTTGGCACCTGCAGCTCCAGAACACACTTTGGCTTGCATTAGATTCACTAAACAGGACCTTTGGGAGAGGCCACTGCTTATCATAAAACAGCTCGAGTAGCATGAACTCATGGAATTCGTGTAATCCTCACACAAGGGGATAAGAAACAATAACAACAACAACTCTTTTATTTTTTGCTTATCCCTAGTACATGTGGTACAGGCCGTGATAATCATGGTAGGCAGAAGAAGGCGACTGCTTTTACTGTAAGCGCACCACATGTCTACACATATGATATATGAACTACAAGTGATAAGGCACAATTTGGTATTACAGTAAAACCTCCCTGTAAAAGACACTTAATTGCAGAGCCAAAGTGTCCTTTAGGGAGAGGTGTCCTCTTACCTGAGAGTTGCTAAATAGTAAAATTGGTAATTTTGAAAATGAAAACTGTCCTTTGTAGAGAGGTATCCACTAAAAGGAGGCTCTACTGTAACAAAGGCAATAAATAAAAGCATAAAAATAATAAATAACATGTATACAATAACAAAGTTGTTGTTGTCGTGTCCAAAGATGAGCCTCAGATGTCTCCATGCATCTCCATCACAGCAGCAGCAATGTCCACCATCTTGGGTGTGTAAAGCTGCTGCTCTGGGTCTATGTCAATTTTCTGCAAGGCTGCGGCCATTGCTGGGCATGAGAATATGTGGGTAGGTGTTAGTTCCATACCAGGACAGTTGTTGCATGTCCTATAGGTTCTTGTGCCATCTGTATGTATTTCCATTCCTTTATAGTGTTTTGTTCGAAATCTTGTTATAGTTTTTGTCAGTTTTCTCTCAGAGTTTATTTCACATATTTGATCTTTTCTTATTTTTTGTTTAATTATCTTGTATTTTGCCAAAGCATCAGCGTCAAATACTAACATTTGTTCTTTCCTTTGGCTCAGCTTTCTGGCTTCCTTTGTAAATTCATCTGCTATTTCATTACCCCCGATCCCAACATGGGCAGGAATCCATTGTAGAATGCAGTTCTTCTCCAATGTTTCCAGTTGGGTAAGT